TAGGGTAAAGTATGGGATGAAATGGTTGGGTTTTAATCTCTATCAGAACTTGGAAAAGTGATCTGCAGTAGTGATCTACAGGCAATGATGTTAGAAGTTGGAAAGGTATTCATTTGAACTTCTAATGGAGCGATAAATTACTCCCGAAGTTGCACTTAGAAGGATAAAATAATCTAGACGAATGAGTTAATTAAAGAATTAGCTTTAGCATCTCATATTATATGTCCATCTCACAAATATTTAATAAAGCATACGTAACTAGCCTGACAGAGGACAATATATATATATATATATATATATATATTTTTAAATCTTGAAAAAAATATATTATATTTTTTATTACAATTTATAAGTTTTTATTAATTGATTTTTATTTAAATAAAATATTAAATTGAAATATTTTAAACTAAATAATAAGAGTTTTAAAGTTTGTTAAGACAAGAATTTATAAAATATATATAGCATAACAAATCAAAAACTTTTTTATATGATTTTTTGATAGTATAATTATAAATTTAATTTTTGATTGATAAGAAGTCAAACATTCTATTTTTATATATTTAACTTAATTTAATACAATTTTTGAATAATTGAATGTCAATTTTATATGATATTCAAAAACTTAATCAAAAAATATTTTTTTATAATTATTATATAAAATTAAACTTGAAATTTTACAATAAATAACTTATAAATATTATTATTATATTATAGATTTATAGATTTAACTTTTCAAATTTATTTATTAAAAAATTCTATTTTATTATAAAATATCTTTATATTTAATTTATATTTAATTTATTTTTTATTTAATTAGAATATTAATTTTAATTTAATAGAATTCAAACTTTTAAAATAAAACATAAAAAAAAATACTTAAAAATTTTTCAAATTAAAAAGTTTTTCATTTTTATAATATAATAAATAGATTTTAAAAAAATTAATATTAAAGATGTTATATTATAATAAAATTATATTCTTTTAAAAATTCATTAATTATAAGTTAATTTTTAATATATGATCTAAATATTTTTTTTGAAAAGTTTTACTATTTTAATTTGATATTGAATATTTGGTTCAATTGAATTTATTAAAATTTTATTAATTAGAAGTTTAAAGTAAATATTATTACTTATAATAAAAATAAAATAAAATCATGTATATTTGATATATTATATTCTATTTTATTGTATATACTGTAATTGATATTAAAATAGATATTTCTCTTATAATTATTAATTTAAGTTAACAAAAATTATTATAATATATTGCATTTAATTTGTTAAAAGTGTAAATATTATATCAAGTATAGCTAAAAGAGTTGATTCAATTTATAATATATCCTATTTCCAATAATTGAATTAAATATTTTAAGATTCGAAACTTAGAAATACAGTATATAAAATTGAAATAATACCTTTGAAGAACTTTAGAAAACAATAATGATAATCAAATCTTAATTAGATAGTAATACTTTAAAATAAATAGCTTGATATTTATCAAGTTTAATAAAATATTTATCAAATTCTTTTTTAAACTCGAATTATAAAAAAGAACGGATTGTTCCAATTTTCTTGCTTGCACATAGATAAGACTAGTTAGTAATTATGATTGTTATTACTATTTTATACCTTTGAAATTTATTTTGCATCAATAGGTCATTCAAACTAATTTCCTGGTTCATTTTTGAAGTAATAATGATCAAAAGGTGGATGGCTCTTTTAGAAACCATTCTATCATACATTATTTGATAAGCATATACTGTAGATTATACAGTTTAGGACAGTTAATTCCAATTCCAATAAAGTTTGACATGCCAGTGTTAAAAATTTTTATTTATTTATTTATTATCAATAAAAATTTTCCTAAAGATAAAGATTTGATTTCTATTTCCAAATATTTAGATACGATATATAATTTTGTCATTACTGTATATTTTTTTTAGACGCATTGTATATTGAAATGGGAAATTTTAAGTCGTACGTGTAGTTGATTCTTGGAATTTTATTTCTTAACCAAACCAATGATCAACAATTCATTCGATCACGTTCTAAAGAGAAATGGGTAACTTTTTTAAAGTTTCGATTGACAAAAATTTTTCTTCTTAATTAAGTAGACTGTATCTCGCAGCATGTAAAAGCTTATACTGTTACGTATGTCATACGAGACCATTTAGAAACAAGTTTCCTGTTTGTCGGCATGGTTCCCGTGTAACCTCACCACACCATTGTTGACAAAAATAGAAAATAACCCAAAAAAATTTTTTTGTTTACAAATACAGTGAATCAATTGAGCCGAGCGCCAAGTGATTCAAGGTGCACAGCAAAACATGAAGCTTCCCCTTGTTCCAGAGTCAATTGACGGTGGGGCGAACAAGATCCAAAAAGACGTTCGTGATATTGTGTTTTGATAAAGATGGTGTTATCGACACGTGTGACGTGCCGAGTTGAGTATTGAGTACCTTGACAGCGCAGCGTTAAATAAAAATTTTGGTATAAATTCCAAAATAATTAAATGATTATGTAGAAAGTATTTCATAATTATTCCAAGGGATCTCGCGCACTATCTGTTTTTTTATTTTTATCTCATCCAAGTTTCACATTTGTAATAATCACGAAAGTCCGATCTCATAGTGAATTCATAGCGCATGGACTTATTAAGCTCTCGAATTAGTTAAGTCGAGAATTGACAATAAATGACGCCCCATCATATTCTACTATAAAAGATTTTGCTGCATACGAGATTGATGACTGCTTTGTTCGCGCGAGCGCAAAATTCACCCTCTTGAATTTACTATATTTTTTTTTGGTAATGATCAACATGTGCAAAACACGAACCGAACACGAAAAGACTTTCAAATATGAACGAGCAGATTTATAAAGGTGAACTACAAATATTCTATGCACGGCTGTACATCAACTATTACCAGTTCTAAAAAGAATCTCAACCATCGATGGTTACCATTTATCATTTATCATTCCGAGTCCAACACCAACCATACATTCCGGATAAGTGACCTCAAAATTAATCCAGACAGCGCATGCAATATTATTAGAGGGAACGATGACCATTAAAATATTCTAAAAATTGGGCACTAGGAGTTTTAATACCCCTTTCTTGCGATGTTTCTCGCATAGTTTAAAGAGATCTGATTTAAAATTAGTGTCTAATGCGAAATTAAATGGTAGGTTGTCTATTCTATTTTTACAACAATAAAAAAAACAATTAATAGATGACATATCGTAAGTCCAGGTTTGTATTCCCAACGCCAAGAATTGTAATCCGCGAGGGACCACAGGACCGAGTTTATAGAGGATCTCGCTAATGTCTTGCTGATCGGGATCACCTGTCAAAAATATCTCCTCTAGATTTGGGCATTTGCTAAATAGATTTGGAAGATTCGATAGGGATTGATTGGGAATGTTGAGGTGGATGCTTACAAGGTTTGGGCAGAGTTGAATTATTGTTGATATGAGATGCGGAAGTTCCTCGGGATCTTTTGAGTTTACCAGCTCGAGGTTGAGAATCTTAAGGGTGGAGTTGGCGAATTTGATCAAATCAATTATTTTTTTGATTCGTTGATTGCCTCGACGGATCACGAGCCTCATTAGTTTGGCCGTATTGATGGTATCGGGGTTCCCGTGATTTCGGGATGAGATGTACTCTCCTTCCGAGGATAAATTCCATTCCACCTGAGATGAATAGATGTTTTGGTATTGTAAGGCCTGACCGTGTAAGACAGCCAGGAATTGAATGTGGTATTCAAGTATGCTTGGCAATTCCGTACGGTTCGCCTCGGCCTCGTCGATCGAAATCCATCTTTTTTCGCTGCCGGGGAGCCTCGCGGGAAACATCAGGGATAATTCTTCAAGGTTTGGACATTGAAGAAAAGAATCAAAAGAAATTGCACATCCCCCGGAGATCGACACCTTTCTCAGAGTTTTGGATTTCTTTTGGAGTGCCGATAAAACCTTTTTTGCCTCATTGCATGTGATCATCTCAAAATGCTGTAGATTGACTTGAGAATTTATCAATGCGCTCAGAGCCTCATCATTTGACCCTTGATGGATGTCTATCCTTTGGAGTCCCGTGGAAACCCGGCTGATCGTGTAAATCAATTCCGGAGGGGTGTCCGCTTTTGAGGAATGATGACAGGGGAGTGAGTTTTTCAAGATTTTCAAGTGACGTGAAATAAAGCATCAAATCAGTTAATTATCATCGGGGGCAAGACCTCCCCACATACCTCGGCAACTGAAACTTTTTAACCTCGAGAGGCGAGAGATATCAAAGCCGGGCAGTTCACTTAGGCGTATGAAGACCGGATCCAAGCTTTGTTCCAGGTTGCGATAGTCAAACACCACGGGGGTATCATACTCGAGACTTCTAATGTTCTCCGAATGGCTGAAAAACAGTTTAAGCAGTTCTTCTAGGATCAGCTTTAGCAGTTTTGTCGATTTCCTTTGAGCCAGGGGTTCTTTCAGAATCAGAGTTGCAATGGAATCATGAAATAACCAATAATTCAGAGAATTTAAATATTTAGGATATTTGAAAGCGGGTACACGTGTCGGCGGCATGAAGCCGCCTTCAATGAGCCTGACTCGGGATTCAGATGATAGGCAAGCAAGGTAAGCTTCGATGATTGATGTCACACTCTTCACAAGCGAACCTTCTTTGTTGAATACAATTTGGAGCGGATTTTGCCATAACAGGGGTATTACGTAAGTGCACCAAAGACGGGATACGTGAAGAGAAGAGTGCAACGAATTCGTGTCGAGCAATTTAAAAATGTTTCGATAGATTTCCGGAGGAAATGGAGGTGTCATGTCAGATCGAAGAGAGCCCAAGGGGATGCTTTCGTCGATTATCGAATGGTGATGACTGGTCCCTACGGGAATACCGAGAAATTGGTCCAATGACGGAAGGCAAGAAAACGAATTCACCAGTGAGATTATTGGCGGCGCCCTTGTAGCATCCGACGGATGTCCAAGTTGATCTGATAGAATAATGTGTTTGAAGTTTTTTTTCGTTTAGACGGTGACGCAATGGTGCGAGCAATATCGTTGTTGCATGCAAAGGAAATGATTTACTCTCGACATAGTATTTACTGCGGGGCTGGATTTGAGATCACATAATCGACACGTAAATCAATCCTTATTGGGAAAATCCCAAGTGCCTACGTATTGCAAGCCACACGTTTGTTTCTCTTGGAGGTTAGACGAGCTTTTTTTTTAATTGTACAATGTATGTAATTTGAGGATTGAATCGTTTATAAATCTCGAAGATTTTAAGCCGACATGAGATTAAAGGCTATCATAAAAATCAATTAAAATCACGTTTCGTTTTGTTCCATCGATCTTCCTTTTGCAACGTCGAACATGAGAGGGATTTCGCTTCCTTGCAAAATGTGCATCTCCGTAAAAACATCCGTTCATCTCGGGCGATTTAACAGTTTAACATCCACCAACCTGTTTAATCTATCCTTTCCCTTCAACATATCCAGCAATACCAAAACCTCGGCCGTGGTGAATCCGTCGGATTCCCGCATCTTGATCTCCTCGATCAGAAAATTTCGGCGCGCCAATCTTGCTCTGTTATCGTCCCTCCATCTACTACCGAAAGTTTTGAGCATCAATTCGATCGGAGGGTTCTTGTCTAATCCGTAATACCACTCGGCGTAGACGTGATGAACCGAGGGTAACACGCCTAGCACCGGTAACATGTAATATGGCAAGTTTTCATTTGAACGTTTTAGGTTATTGGATACGGCCTCGGCGATTGAGATCCAGTGACCGTTGGATCGGGCGCTCGTCGGAAGGACGAGGGGAATGATTTCACGGGGTCGAAGGTTACTTTGAACATCGTTGACCAGAACTTCTCTCTCCTTTCCTTTATTATTTATCCTTATCATTCTATGATCATTAATTCCCACCATATGCGTAACGATATTAAAAGTAGAATTCTGATGCGTAATTGTCTGTGAGTGGATTATCGATTGGTTTGATTTACCTTCGAGAGGGAGAGGAGAGAATGAATGTTATTCGTGCTTAGGAGAATTTTCGAGGATGTCACCATTAATTATTTGAATTTTACCTCTCGGTGATTTCTAGCTCGTTACTTTAAACTTTGGCGTAATCAGATTAATAATAATACTTTGATGATTGTAGCACCGGAAGTTTACGGTGTATATTTATAGTCTCATTTTATACTTTCGGGAAATTCTGGACTCGAGTAATTTTTGCATGACCAAATTCTCAATTCGGATGATGCCTGGTGAACGGAGAGAGGAGATGCACGTGCCTGCGAGTAAACCGAATCCTTGGGCCATCCATCCATTTGCTATCTTCGTCGATTTCCAATTGACACGAGACGCGATAATTGGCTGGAAATTTTCGATTATCACATATGCGTAGATCGATAATCGTAGAATCACGTATGCAGCATTTAAGGAATATTGATATTTTTCGTAACGTTGTTACCCATCTCCAACCCACGCGGAATAGGATTTTTAGCACAAGCGGTTTCGCACGTCACGAAAACCCTTTAGTAAGCAACATAACACTCGCATTCACCTAAAACGGATCGGTTGGACTTTATGTGAATCAACATTTTTCAACCGTTATCTTATTATCCAAAGGGAATTCCGCAGATTTCGAAAAAGCCCGATGGAATAAAGAATGGAGCACCTCCAACGGAAAGAATGAACATGGAAGGCATTATGCGACGTGGATTACCTAAGAGACGAAAGATCGGTGGTGTCGAACATGTGATCGCTGTTGCTTCTGGGAAAGGTGGAGTTGGGAAATCCACGTTGGCCGGTATTTCGACATCTTTCGGCATTCTGCATGATCTTTTGAATATTGACGCAAGGTAGAATTCGCATCATCTTAATTCATTCACCCCTAGTTAACCTCGCATTAGCGGCAGCATCATTTCGGAAACGCGTGGGCATCTTGGATGCGGACATTTTTGGACCTTCGATACCTCGTCTAATGAATTTAAAAGGCGAACCGCAAATACACGAAAAAGGTACGAGGCATCCCTTCGCATCGGAGGATTTACAGGAGTTCTGATTTATTATCATTATCGTCATTTTTTTTTAAACGTATTCGTAGATAGTAGCTTAATCCCTCTGGTAAACTTTGGAGTGAAGGCGATGTCAATGGGATTCATCATTGGGGAAGATGCACCCGTGGTATGGAGGGGGCTTATGGTAAAAATTTTTCTTTCTTTTCTTTTCTTTTTTTAGGTACATTTTCAATATTCACTACCTATTATTATTATTTATTTTTTTTTTTTTTTTTTTAATAGGTGATGAAAGCAATACAACAATTATTGCATCAAGTTCATTGGGGGGAACTTGATTTACTGGTGATAGACATGCCTCCGGGAACAGGGGATACCCAGTTGACCATCAGCCAGCAAGTTGTGTTGGATGGTGTGTGAGACAATTGAGATTTGTTCGTTGATGATACTTCCGTGTGCTAATAACATACGCGGCATATTTAGGTGTGGTGATAATATCAACCCCTCAAGATATTGCACTTATAGACGCTAGGAAGGGCGTTAATATGTTTAAGAAGGTGGATGTTCCGGTAGGTGGGATTTTCATTTTTTGGTTCTCTTCTTATTTTCCAATACCCGAAGAAACTATTCTATGCGAGATGTTTTTACATGAGACATTTCTTCGTCATATCTATTTGTTATTATTATTATTATTTTATATTTTATATTTTTATTTTCATTTGTTTTTTATTTTTTAAAAAAGTAGATTCTGGGGATGGTGCAAAATATGTCGCTGTTCATATGCCCGAATTGTCAAAGTAAGTCACATATATTTGGAAATAATGGAGTGATAAGAACATCCAAAGAAATGGAGATAGATTATCTCGGAGATATTCCATTAGACGCTAGCATATGTGAATTGTCAGATTTGGGTACACCGACGGTTGTAGCCAAACCCGATAGTTATAATTCCGATTGCTATAAAGACATTGCGAAGAAGGTCATGAACAAAGTCGGGCTGAAGTATGACTAACGGGATATTGCTTGAAGAAATGATGCACTTCTCCCCCAATTTTTTTTTTTTTTAAAAAAGTATTTCAATCGCGAACGTTGAGATATTTTGTTCTTGATGAGTATTGAGAGGTGAAAGAATAAACGCGCGAAACGAATTAATCAAATCTCAGATCAGCGAAATTAGAAATGCACGTATTCTGGCGAGACGCTTAATGAATGATGCATTCTGGTTTTTTTTCAAATTAGTCCGAGTGAATTTACCATTTAGGAACTTCTTACTTCATAAATCCCCGATTATTTAATTTCAAAAATGGATTCGTTTAAAGTTTGTAGAACCTATATTTAACCATCGTAATTCGTGCTCATTTCTTTTAAGACCGAATGACGCATAAATTAAGTGGTGCATTTGGTCACCGATTCGCACAGGTAGATTAGAAAGCACAATAAATGAAATAAGAATTTCGACTGCACATTGCATGCAACTCGACACATAAGAGTTCTCAACCATATTTACCCCTTTCCTACCTTGATCACGTAAACATTCTTTACTAAAAAAAAAAAAAAAAACGAATTGTCAAAACGTATGGAAGAATATTATCTTCAATGATCATTGTATAGATAATTTATTTTTCATGCAGCACCAATGGTGAATAGTTATTTTCATTAATATGCATGTATGTAACGTTTTGCGCGTGTGGTTAATAAAAACATTGGAATAATAATACCGCAGATGGATTCATGGAATCGTGTTGAAGTCGAGGTACGTAAATGTAATTAAGTGAAAATAAAAATAATGAAATTATTTAAGAAATCAACCATTGGAACGTAAACAAGAGTCATCAAATTGCGGTTCGGCAAAGACTTGGCAAGTCATCATGCGGTCCATTTAAAGAACATGCCGTGTCTACAGTATATCTTAAAAAAGCCTCATACTCCGTTGCAAACGAGAAGCAAGGATAGCGGTTACAACGACAAGTTTAAACTCTTCGGTTCGTGTGCCCTTATCCTATGCTGTTCAATGTTACATCGCTGGAGATTATCATCGTCATCGAGACCACGGCCACCTCAAGTTTTATCTATCCTTCACACCGGCGCTAATCCGCCGACGATCTGTAGCATAGTAGATCGAATCGCATACGTGATATCGCCTCTTCACGAGTTGATGCGAGAAATCTTCAATCTACATATGGCTTTGAAATATAAAACTCGTTTTCCCTTGAAGTCGATCTCTCTCAAGCCCCTTTGTGGTCGGCTGCACCTGCATGCATCGTGTTCAAAACCTGCATCCGATGCATTTATATGTAAAGTAATGACGAAATGTCGGGCTTTTTCGCGGTGTTTTGTTGTACCCCTATAGGGCACAATAACTGGACGTCATTTCCACTCGATCTTCTGACAATTCTCATGATGCGCACGTCCAAATTTTGTAAGACACAATCTTTCGATTCCACCGTCCTTTCTCTGCTTTTTTGGAAACATATAGACAGCATGTATGAAGCTAATAATAAAAAATGTAGCCATTTCTAAACTTCACATCGTTTTTCCGTTTCTTTCTAAATAAAATGTGACGCAAGCGAGTCGGAAGCCACTCGCGTAAAGAGTAACTGTCGCTCAATGAATTGCCATAAAAAGAAAGACACGTAAAATTGATTAATGCGTCAATTATTCAATTATTACGTACTTTGATCGATGAGAAATACACATAAATACTGGTACGAGAATACATGGAATCTTTACCAAATGTAGGAAAATGCTATTACATTCCCTGCAAAATAAATGCTCACTTACCATATGAGGCTACCAAGATTGTTCCGAAAATAATTCCTACAGTTTGAGACTAGGATTAATCGAGAAGGTAAACGTTAGTCGGCTAAAAATACTACATGTAATATATCACAAGGTTTATTATGGATCCAGATTTGAATCTTGGCAGGCACATTTTCCTTTACTCTTACTGTACATACAATTCCGAATCGATTTATTTATTAATAAAACCTACATGACAATAGTATTCTTCTAATGACAATTTCTTAATGAATATTCCGATTTGTTTGTCCCCCATGTCTTTGTCTAACTTAACCCCTTGGTGTCAATTTACCAACTCTCATTGGAAATTCGTTTGAGGACGCTAATTGATTCCCCACCATTTCGTCATTTCCAAAAAAACGCTTAAATACTAATATAAAGGTACATGCACGATATCAGCAACACTCTTTTTCCGTCATCCTCCGCATACTCATCTATCCACCAAAAAGAGAGAGAGAGAGAGAGAGGAAGGAAGAAGAATAACAACAACAAGATGAAACTAACGATCTCAATTCAACCGTCGATAATACTCGTTTCCCTCGTCCTCCTCGCGATCACTTCACAGGTCTCTGCACAAAAATGCATAGACCGCATGGATCCATTCTACCCCGCCAAGAATGTCTACGCGAACTGCAAGATGGTGACCGAACCTAATGTTTTCGAGAGAACTTATCAGGACCACGATGATGATTGCAACGAGGCAAAGAATATGTTCAAGGTTACGGCATTTCAATGTGGAAGCAATGATACAACGCTATGCAACAATGTAAAAAACGCATTTGAAACCGCCGGGCAGATAATCTCCCAGGTCTTTTATTTAAAAGTTCCGGTATCGATAAATGTCACCTTTACGAATTTCTGCGAAGCTTTGAAACTTTGTTCTATCGGCAAAAAATTCGTTGCCATCGGTACGTATTTTTTTTTTTTTTTTTTTTTTTTTTTTGCCAATCCGTGTCTACGGAAACCATGTTCAAGACCCTAACCGTCAGAGTTCAATTTCGATCCAAAAAAAGGTGCCGCGATGCCATCCAGAAATATGTTAATGCTAGATGACGACGGTGCCACCAGATTCTACCCTCAAGCACTTGTGAAACAATTTCAATTGTCGACCCACCCCGAGTACGCCCCTTGTGACATCACGGCGACTTTCAATTCTCAGGTAAAATGGTGGTTCCGCGAGGACAAGAGGCCAATAAAAGACAAGGAAAGAGATTTTCTGTTTGTAGTCTTGCATGAAATGATGCACGGCTTGGGCTTTGTAAGGTGATTGCTCACGTTTCCCGTTGATACTTGGTGCTTGAACGCCGCAACCATCACGTTGTAACTTTGCTCTTCTTTCATGTAGCAACTGGGCTGATTGGACGAATCCCCTCAACGCCTCAGAAGCTTTATCACCATACCCGTTGCTCACAAGCGACCCCAAAGGAGGTGATGCGGTAATATTTGACGGGTTTCAGGAGACATGTTTCGATAAATACGTGATCATACTCCCATCTGGTCAGCACATTTCAAACATCACCAAGCAGTTGAATAGATTTGGCGGTGGACCCGGAACAAAATTTGCAAATGAGACCGACTTCATACTGAAGTTCCATGCGTCACCACAATACAAGATAGCGAAGAAAATATTCAAGAAAGCTGTAACCGCCAACGACCTCGGATTCTTACCGCACGGTGAATCGAACCCACGTGACTCCGTGACTCTGGAAACCAGTTTGAATCCCTTCGTACAAGGGGCTAGTATAGATCATGTGTCTAATAAACGTTATGCGAACAGCAGTGACTTCCTAATGAAGTTTCTATTTAAACCCCTGGAAACTCTGGAATCGTTGGAGAAAAGAGCTGGGAGTGAAAGTTGTGGACCCATTGGGCCAGAGCTAAGGTTGATTATGCAATCACTTGGTATGTCTCACTCTTTTCTCTATTCATTTTCTATTCATTTTTCTCTTTTTGTCCAAGATTGAATTGGAATGCATGAAAAATTACCTACCTTGCAGGATACGAAACATCCACCGATCTACATCCTTATCGACCAGCGCCCCTCCCACATTTTCCTTATCCCATGACGGATACGCTCGACGGTTAATCTCGTCGACCTGATTTCATGCACAATAATAGGAATGGTAATAATACATGCGAAAGCTGGTATTTCTCAAATCACAAATACAAATTCATATTTCACATCAACCTTTCACTATAATCCCCGGAGCGAGGTTTCCGATTATTGGTTTTTTTCTTTTTTATTTGTTTATAGAATCTAATACTTTTGTATATCAAGTAAACATAAACTTACTTTGTTGGTTTTCATACGTGTCGCGGTAGACTAATAATACATTGCGTGTGATAGAAATAGGAAATCCAAATTTATTTATATCCTATCGCCTCGTGTTGAATATATAATACATAATATATATATATTCTTTGAACCCGATGAATACTACAAGAATATACACATGTAATTTTGTTAATTTTTTATGGAGAAAGACAGTGGGTAAAATTGTACTTAAAGTGCAGTGCTGTAAATAATGTGCGTCGTGTATACTTACGTAGTTGTCGCGTAAATCAATACGTAATGTGAGAATCACATGTTTTGATCATCAGATGCTTTCTAAAAATGTAATGATAACCAAGGATACATAGGGAACACCATTTCTCTGACTGAAATATTGTATTCTTTTTTTTTTCTTTTTCTCTTTCTCTTTTTTCTTTTCGTTGGTGCATACGTATTGCAATTTAAAAAGCAACCGCCGGATACTTACCGTCTCACAAGGAAAGTTAGAAACTCTTGTGGATATTTAGTAAGTAATATTACTTATTGAACCATGATATAAAAGTGTGTTACTTTGTCATCATTGATTTTCCCAATCCGGTGCATATCGATTTTTTTTTTTTTTTCCTGTCATCTAATAATTTTAATGATCACTGGTAAGTACATTTCTGAAATTATTCCGAAGGACAGCCTTTACTTTTCTCGTTTAGTTTTGTTTTATTTTTTTTTTGTTTTGTTTGTTTTTTTTTTTTTTTTTTGGTTTCTTCGCTTCTTTTTTCGATATTCCGAGTTTTGCTGATTTTATTCCTGTGGAATAGAATAGCTCTCCAGACTAGGAATCTTTCGAAGACATTTATCACACGGTAGGTTGTCAAAAACACATGTCTATCTATCTACACATAATTTATGGGTTTTGTCATTTTTCCTTATTGTTGTCACGAGTCTCCCTAGAAGCCAATGGTTCACAATAGAATTGTCGCAAGAAAGATTCCATAGAAATATATTCTTCCGTGTTACCAGTCGGGCGTCACCCTGGCTTTCTTGTTTCCTTTTTTTTTTTTTTTTTCTATTTTGATCAATACGGAAATTCTTATTATTATCGCTCTATCTAGGTTCCAAAAAAGGCTTGATAGAATCACGACTGTTGACCATGCCTCAGAATTCAAGTGGAAAAGTTTATTATGAAGCCGACAGGATTATAGATGAGAAGATGATTGGGGATGATTGGTATTACTACATTAAGTGGAAGGGAATGGATGAAAATGGTAAACCTTGGAATCCAACTTGGGTATGAAACATTATTCTTAAATGGTTTGATCGTAAAGCTTAATTGCTCCCCTTCGATAAATAATCATAGATACTTTTTTTTTTCTTGTATAATTAACTGTTTTATTTTCCTTCTTTTTCCAGGAACCATCAAGTTATTGCACACCACCGCTCATTGCTTCATGGGAACAACAGAAGAGATCTGCAAAAAGGAAGCTGAGGTCACCTCATGATTCCATGTCTCCAAGGCCTTCACCTGCAAGCACAATCACCGAGCCCAGAAAGAAGCTATTGGGAGGCAATAAAGACGATCGTCAATTGCCAGGTTCTCCAGTAATCATCAGTGGTAACTCGAGAGCTCCCATGGTTATCAACCACTCGGAATCTGTACTTGGTAGCAGTTCCAATCTACCTATGGTTATCGAAGATGGCGCACCAAGGAGCTTTCCCATGAATAATGGATCATCATCTAGGGTAAAGGCACAAATCCAAAGCGAAAAATTAACAGATAGTGTCACTTCAAAGATTAAGTCAACCTCATGCGGCCAACCATCAGATGATTCTAGCACATCGCAATTATCAAAAAAATCTCATTCATCTCACCGTACCATCATGCTTCCCGTACCGTTATCACCAATACAACAAAAGATATATCGTAAAATTTACAATAGTCCACAATTATTTAGAGCCTTTGCTGAAGCCGACGAGTCATCTCCGTTGTCCTCGAACTCACTCATTCTCACAGCGAGAGATCAATTGCTCATGGTGGTCGATCATATATCGCTACTTACATCACTGTCCAACGACAGTAATAGGTTACCGGCCAAGAATTGGATGTTGGATATTAATAAAACTGGAAAACTTTTATTATTACGAAGATTATTGACGAGGTTATCGCATACAAACCTAAGGATCGGAATTGCTCTCCCTCAAGGAAAAATGATGGTAAATTTTATTCGGCTATTTTCCTTTTCTCTTGGTTACACTTGCTACATGTAAATCGATTGTTGGTTTTTCTTTCAGGACATCTTCAAAGATTTCTTGGATTCACTTGGTCATTATTACCTGGAGATTCATGAATCAAAATCAAAAAATTCAAAGGTCACCCTTAATTACAATCGTGAAAGCATGACATGTGTGTTATTCTCTACAAGCACACAGGGCAATAGTGATGATTTGGTAAGTGCCCATTCAACTATGCATTCGCTTGTCAAATATAATCAGCATCGAATATATCAAGAGTTTTCCGAGTTTCCAATACTTTGCATTGAGTACGATTGCCTTAGAAGGCACCTTTGTGAAATATCTATTTTCAGGTTGCTAAATTCCTACTTCCTCCTTTAAAAGTCACTATTAGATCTTGTAATAGCTTACGACACGAGCTTCATTCCGCAAACGCATTTGTGGAAATCAAAGTCTAACGAGGACATACCGATAATTAGGCTTGTAACAAAAAATACCCTCGAGCACGCCCTCAATTATCAATTGTTTCATGAGCAAAAAGTCATTTCTGAGATGAATCTTTCGGAAATTAAAAAGACGATATCTTTTGGATCAATGAAAAAGAATCAAATAATGGCTCCAGGCTGTGAAATAGCTCAATTTGATGTTAAGGGGGTCTGTGATAAGGTTGCTGATTGGATCGAGAGTGGAATGCGGGAGGAACTAACGTTTGGCATGGAAACGGCGATTGAAAGGATTTGGAGTAAGGGCATTGGCATCGTCACCCCTCTCGCCTCTTCCCGTGTTTCAGAAAAGCGAAACTCGGAAAATTTGGATGATATGGGAATTCTTAAGCGAAGAAAGGTAAAGGTATGGATACATTATTCGGTCATGATCATTACACGTGAATTTTAAGAACCCATATGCTTTTCCCTTCAAAAGCATGATAAAGAACCAACGAAAAATGACGAAGGGAATGCCTCGAAATCAAAAAAGGTGAAATCAATATCCAATTCTCAAGACGTCCCGGAAAAAGTTTCAAGACGGGAATCATCAAAACCTATACTAAAGACGCCCCGAGATGATTCCGAAAAAATTTTAAAACATGAAGTGTCGGATGTTATAAATGACGAAAAAAAACAGACACAGAATTTGTCAAAGCCTGTCATAGAAAAAAATTCCGGTCAATCATCTGGAAGTACAGCAAGCAAATCCAGAAGTTCTACTCTTGAAGAGGTACTTTTCGGTTGCAAAAATTTTAAACTTTCATTTGATGGTATTCTCTTGCTATAACTGACGAGACATACTCTTTCACCGAACTGATTTAGAACGGAACAATCGAAAGCTGGAAACAAAAATTCATCGACTTGCAACTTAAGTTTAAAAATCAAGAGGAGATTATTTCTGAACTTCAGCAGGAAAAAGATAAATACCTGGGCTTGGTGAATGAACTAAGTGCCGAACTTTCTAGCACCAGGACACAATTATTGGATGCGCAAGCGCAGGGAAAGCGGTTCAGGAATCAAAATGAAATGTCGGATGGGGAGACATCCCACGAACTTTCAAGTACTCGGGAGAAATTGGCGGAAGCCTTGCGTACAATCTCCAAAATAAAACTTGAATTGGAGACCAAAGAGGCAGAGAATGGCAACATGAAAAAGGAAATAGAGGAAAGCAAGTTCACCATCAAATCAATTAAAAGTCAACTAAAGGTCGTGCAAGAAGAATCCGTTGCTCTACGTTTCCAACTTCGAACCGATACTCCTGTGAAATTTACCAGACGAACCGAAACTATGGATGAACAAATTAAAATGTTGACCGCAGCAAACAGTTCATTGCGCATGCAGTGTGAACTTTATGAAAAACAGGTTAAAATTGCAGAAGAAAATGCAATAAGGAACACAGATATAGCTAACCTACTAATGAAAGTTAGAGGAAAGAATTTGGAAGAGGTAGAAAAATTTCTTGAAACGAAGCAAAATGAAATCCTAAGTGGTGTCGATGAGAATATTGAAGCCTCTGAAAATGTTTCAGATGGGCGTCTCTCATCCAATGGTATGGATCCTTTGATATCTAAGCAATTTTTTAATGGATCGTCAAAACATTATTCATGCAGTCTTGGAAAATGCAAAAACAAGTTCAGGGCTATTGAATATATGAATAGCGATAATGAAAACAAAGGTTAAGGAAATATACAAATACTTTTATCTTTTACTATTGTCTACCCGTGACTGAGATTTTTTTTTTTAAATATATATATATATATATATATATATATGCATAGAAAATTAACCTTCCAGTTTAAAAATTTTTTTTTTTTTTTTTTTTTTTTAATGCTCCATTCTTCTGAGGTTCCGTCTTAATTGATGGCTTTTGACACCATTATAATTGGTGTTTCTAAAAAAAAAAAAAAAGATATATCTATATATACAGTATATAAACAAAAATATTAAAGAAGGGATAATAAAGCTTCACGCTTAAAACGTACCTACCCAAAGTCCCGCACATGAAATCCGACTGATTATAGATGGAAAAAAAAATGCAAGGATAGCAATTGGCGAAAAAGATGAAATGATTATTAGGAATCATCTCAAGAATTCAATTCAGTACACTTTTTTTAAAAAATAGATATATATATAGACAGTATATAGCATTTTCAGTACGGGTCAAAGTGTCAGAGTTATATGTATATAACTTTTTAATAGAATTTAAAAAGTTTGATAAGTATGCATTGATTCAAATGACTGACGTGGAGTCAAAACAAGTATCAAAGTGGTAATTAAATCAAGGGGCGAACCTTTCTGGAGATTTAAACAATTACAAATCAAAATTTTCCGAATTCCAATCCAAGAAACAGCCACCAATCGCCGTTTGAGTCCGCCCATCGGTATAATTAGTTAATCACTTACAGTAAGTATTTGACAAAATAAATTTAACAAGATCAAGAACTAAAGTTGATGCGAACCATATCTTTCAACATTTATTCTTTATGCCAATTTTATTGCTATATTTGTTTTTTGTTTGTTTGTTTTTTTTTTTTTTTTTATATATATAGCTTAATAATTACTATATATTATGTGTTTGTTATTTCATATAAGTTTTGACAGTAAGTTTTGATATACTGTATATGGATTCTAAAAATAGAATCATAAACTTGAATATTTTAGAATTTACTATAATAATTTCAATTGTAAATAATTCAAATAATTATAATTATAGCAAACAATTCGATAATAATTATGTAAAATGGATGCTAAAAACTCGTATTCGATATCTATATTATTTTATAATCAAAATGATATTCAAATTCTTTTCGATATTTAATTATATAGCATACATTATTTATTACGTGTAGATTTTGAGAAAAATTTTTCCATCGAAATTTTTCATAAACATTTAAAATTACTTGTCGCTTATTAACATCAAAATAGAATTGTTGATGATTTTCTATTAAAAGTTATGGACTTTTTTTTTTTTTTTTTTTTGATAAATTATTAGACCTATTACATATACTGTATGTTATAAAAACGATTTTTGAAAAATTATTTTTATTGAATCAAAATAATATCATAATATACTGTATATTTTTTATAATCTAATAAAAGTTTCTAAATATTTTTTTCCAGTTAACTCTCTGATCATAAGTATAAATATTTGCGTAAAAAGTTTATCTTTTTGACTAACAAAGGTATAATAATATTTTTAAAGCAGTTTGAAATGTATCTTTAAGAACAGTTATTATCTTTTTGATCAAAAATTTGACTTGATAATTAAAAAAATTCAAGTAATATCTATTATTATTAATAAAAAATTTTATTTATCAAAATTTTAGAATAATCTAATTTAAATCGAAAAAATTGATCAATATAAAATATAATAGCTTTTAAAATAAAAACAAGTTTTTATTAATCATGTGTGTATAGTTAAATAATATAAATAATAATTAAAATTTTTAAGAATTTTTTTTTTTTATTTAAATAAGTTCTTAAAAATAAGCTATGATATTAAAAAATAAATAATAATAGAGTAAATCAATAACTTTTATCTCTTAATCAAATTTTTCAAATAATAAAAAAAAATTATTAAATAAATTTTTTAAATATAATATTGAAATAAAAAAATATAATAAACAAATTTATAGTACTTTAAAAAAAAATAAAAGAATTTTTTAAAAAATTATAATTTTATAGTTTGAAATTTATATATTTAAAAAATATAAAAATTAAAATAGAAATATTTCAACTTTATAAAAAAAATTTTAATTAAAAATTCTTGATATTTATTTAATATTAGTTCAAAAAATTTTTTTTAATTTGATATATAAAATTGTACATAAGTTGCAAGTTATATATTATTTTATGATTAATTATATATAAACATATTTAAATAATTAAATTATTAAATATTAGTTTAGAATATATTAATATAATACAAAATTTTCAATTTATAAATAAAATTTAAAATTATAATAATATAAATTTTATGATAATCTTAAATAAAATTAATTTTAAAGTATTTGAATTTTTAATTTAAAGTTTGATTTAATTTAAATAAATTTTTATAAACTTTACATATTAAGAAAATTTTTTATTTTTATTCAAATTGTCATATACATTAATTAAAAATATATTTTATAATATTTTTAAAATTTTCTTATTATTTAAAATTATTGAATTTTTTTAAAAGATTAAAATCAAAAAAATATTTTAATCAAATAGATTTTTTTAAAAAATTTTTATTAAATCAATTAAAAAACTTTTAAAATGTTATAATTATTTCTTTTTTTCAATTTTTTAAATTTAATAATTTATTATTATTAAATAAATAATGATTTTTTTACTATCTAAATACTTTTTGTTAATATTTTATTAATCTAATAAACCTTTTTTTTTTTAAAAAAAAAAATAAAAGCCCAGCCATATTTATTAACTTTAATAAAATAATATACAAATTGATATAGAAATTACAAAGATTATTATATAAAACTATATATTATTTATATCACTAAACTCTCTAAAATCTGATCTTTAATAGATTTATCAAGTGACTTATTGCTCAAAGATATTCAGTTAAATTAAATTTCTACTATTACACTATCTAAAAAAAACTAGATACCTCTTATTTGTATTTTTAATTCCTTTTTTTTTTTAATTCACAGTAAGATCAACATGATATATCTTTATTATATACTCTATATATTAGATATTTACAAATTGTTATGACTTTCATATATTAACTTACCCATTATCAAAAAACTATTTCTCTAAATACAACCTAGAAAATAATATTTTGCTTTTTTAATAATTTGAATAATTCCTCTAATTATAATAAAATTATTATCTATAAATCATTACTATAGATTATTCTAAGTTCTGTTTGTAATTAAAAATTGAACCATATGATTTTATAACAAAACTAATTCTTAATAATTACTATATAATTCTTTTTTTCTTTTTCTTTGATACCTTCCAGGTTCAAGTTCTCTGAAGGTAGTAGCAATACTTATTAGTTCTATTTAATCTATACATCAAATCTATACTTGTGTCTTTATTTTTTTTTATCTTCTTCTATAATGTCCTGCTTCTTTTTTTATTCTATAACTTTGATATAGCAACTATTCCAGATTTCTTTTTTGAAGTTTATTTATATCTTTCGATAAAGCTTGCTAATAATACTCTATATAGTTACAGGTGAGATATTGAACTACTCTTTGATAAACTTTTTCAAGAAAATAACTTTATTTTTTTCTATATATCTACAGATAGTATTGAAAAGGTCTTTATTGAATTATTTATATTTTCAATTCTTTGAATTCCTTTTAACTAATTTGCTATAATTAACTTGTTAATTCCTTAACCTTTGTTTTCATTATCGCTATTCATATATTCAATAGCCCTGAACTTGTTTATTCCTTAAAAAGAGAAGTATACTTTTTTTATAATTCTAGTAATTATGATCTGTTACCAATATTGAGTATATTCAAAAAAAGAGTATAAATTCAATAGTATTATATATTATAAAAAAGTAAAAAACTATTTGAATTAGAATAAAAAAACCTTGAAGTGATTCTATAAAAAAAATATTTATACTTTTTATAGGTATAATGAGTTCTTAAAGTTCCATTCCAATAGAAAAGATACTCATTTAATAGCCATAACATTTTCAGAAAGTAATAAAAAAAAGGATATTATAGTTCATGTGTTATTTATCTATTTACATAATAGTTATATAACTTATAATGGACTTAAGGTTCTTATGGAACTTAGGAAATACATTTACATCATATATTATATATATTCTTGTCTATATTTTTGCTAGTTATAAAACAATATATTCCAATATTCAGCCAATCAATCTATTCAAAATACAATGTAACAGAAAATTCTGAATTAAGCTAGAATAGGCTTTATAATAAAAGAGAAATTATTTCTATCTATAATAGTAATATCAATTTTTCAGACTGATATAAAGTTATTGGCCCACACTTCTTCTTAGATTTCGAGACTTCTATAAAAAAAATAGTATATTTTTCATCTAATTTCTTTTTTCTAAAAAGTTTACTTACTATTAACTTCTTAAGTAGAGGGTTTTTAAAAAGAAAAAGTAAACAAAAAGAATCGAATATAACTACTGCTAAGTAAAACAGATGTTTTTAAAAAAAGTTTTAAAGTTTTATTACTCTTAAAATATAAAGTTTTGTAGAAACACTTTTTTTAAAATAATGCTCAAGAATCTACAAAAAAGAGTTTTTTAAAAATTAATATTCTTTTTCAATCTGATAGAACTTGATATTTAAGTTAATTTAATTAAATATATAAAATAGAGATAAAATATTATTTATCTTTTTTTTATTATTAACAATATTATCAAAATATGTGTTATAATTAATAAAGGCTTATTTATATTCTATTATCCATAAATTTTATATTAATTAATTATTATTTTTTGAGTACCTATAGTCAGGCTAGATCATCAATTTATTAATCAATTGAAAACAAAAGTATATTTTCATTTAAGTAACATAATATATACTATAGCTAAACTATTATTCTAATCTAACTAACATGTCATAAAAATTAAAGTCTTTAAGTTTAGTCTTGAAAACAATATTTTGCTCTATAACATCTATGGGCAAAAACTCTTTTAATTTACTATATTATTACTAACAGATTGTCATTGCTATATG